TGAATATGTTGAATGAGACCAGACTTGAGTATTGACCCCTGGGGGACACCACTGGTTACTGGCCTCCAACTCGACCCTCCTTCATTGATTGCAACTCTCTGAGTTCTATCACACAGCCAGCTCTCCATCCACCTCGCTGTTCTTCCTTGAATTATGACCAGCCTTTCTAGGCTCCTTTGCCATTCAGGACTGTCTCCCAAGGGACATACAACCATGCTCTGAAACAGGCTAGAGTCTGCCCATCAGAAGTCTCAGGTGGCAGTTCTGTGGGCTCCCTCCCTTGCTTCTCTGAGAATTGAAAACTCCCTTCAAACCTAGTTTAAAGCTCTTTCAATGAGCCCTCCTAACTCTTGTCCTAGAATCCTTCTTTGCCTTTGGGTTAGGCTTTCCCCAGCTGTTGCCATTATGCCTGGTGTCCTGTAGATCAACCCGTGATCAAAGAAACCAATGTCCTCCTAGTAAAAGCTGTCTTGCTGCTGGCTCTTCCTGTTTATCCTTTCACAAATCACTACAGGAGTTGGAATCGAGGAGGACACCACTTGTGCTCCTGATCCTTTAACCAGCCATCCCAGGACCCCGAAGTCTCTCTTCATTGCCCTTGGACTTCTGGAAGCTACCTCATCACCACCTACCTGAAATATCCGTAGTGGGGTAGTAGTCAGAGGGCTGACTAGGGTAGGGAGTTTTCTCTATATATACTTAATCCTGGCCTCAGGGAGGAGGCTGACTTCCCCAGGAAGTGGGTCTGGCCTGCAGGTGGGGCCTTCTGCTCCCTTTAGAAGCAAGTCACCTATGACAAGGACAAATGGGTTCCTTTATGTTTTTATACATGGCATTTTGGTTTGGTTATTTTGGTTTTTCATTAATTTTGAAATCTTTATCATTAACCTGGCAGAAAGTATAGTCTTGGAATTGTGTTTGACTATCCCTTTTGTCTCCACAAGCAAAGGAACAGTCATGTAACGTGCAGTATAACCCAAACAGCTGTTCTTTTTTTAAACTGCTCTCTTAGCACACAGAATGTTGTTTTAATTGAATGGAAGGTAACTTGTAAGTTGATATGGTGAAATTAAAGCAATCATTAGAAATATGTAGCAACCCTGTTAGTGCTTGTAGTGTAAGTCAAGAAATCTGCAGCCCTAGAGTAGAATAAAGGCTGAGGGGGGAAAAAGCAGATACATTCAGGCTATCCTGGGGCTTCAGTCTTTTGAATGTAATTGGATTGCTGTCTCTTTATGTCCTGCAGGAACAATTTTCCAGTCTGGAGATAAAGAGGAGGTGGAGATACGTGGCTGTTCTATTTGGTGTTGTGCAATGATTTGTAAGCACCTGCTGGAGCTGTATGAGAAGAAGGGTCAGGACATGCGTGAGAAGATCAATGCGGTTTTACTTGATTATTATCTTTGGGACTATGCCAGGGATCACAGGGAAGAGATGAAAGATGTTCCTTTTCACCGTGTGCGATGTATATACTACTAAGCTCAGTGTTATAGCTCGTGATGCCTTATCTGCTGGGTGGCAATTATTTTCCTACAGTGGCTTGTCATATACCAATTTGTAACTGGCTAAATCAAATCCTCATTTTTTTATAATGTTGAAAACTTGCTTTTTTTTTTTTTTTT